ACAACTAGAATAATGATAATGCTTCACTTAAAAATTCAGACAATATTTAGCATCACCTTTTATTAATGAAGAGCTACAACTTTTGCCAGAACACCATTTTTAATGCTTGAGATCAAAACTTTTTCTTGCATTATCTATGGAAAATGCACAAGTTTATCAAACTTAACGCAATTTAGTAAAATTGTAACATAGAAACTCAAATTATTAATACAAAGAGTTACAATAGTTTAATAAGAACAAGTGTTATCATGCATTATGGGAGTTGTGGTTGGTCCCATTATGGGTATTATTGAACATTGCTCATCTCTTATCAAAGTAACGTTATTCAAATAGCACTAGGTTACATAGTACCAGTAGAAAGGAAAAATCCTTGATCTGATTTTGCCCTTTTTACAATAAACTATCTTGATATACCACTAACAAGACTTTTGGCAAATTATCTGACAAATAGGTCAGCTCAAGGAGAGAAGAAAAAAAAATACTAATTTATGCCTTTTGAGAAAAGGCATTAGTGGAAAGTGCATGGAACATCAGATGAAATTTAAACCATTTTTTTTTTTTTTTTTTTTTTTTTTTTTTTCCATACAGTTGTCACTTTTGGAGTAGGTAGATTTCTAATATTTTGACATCTGTACCAACTTAGCCCCCCAAATTGTTAAACCTATTTATCCATCTCAGCCAATCATGTACGTTCTTACCTTATGCTACACAACCATGACAATCTTTCTCTCACTCAATCAATTTAAATTCTTCTATCAATTTTTTTTTTTTTTTTGAATCATTAAAAAGAAAAAAAAAATTAAACTATACTGAGATTTTATAAATGCTCCCCAATAATATCGCTTTGTATTTTAGACACCAAAAATAACAAATACAGACATAACTTTTAAAATGGAAAGAATGTGCCATAATTTCTCCCATTCTGATTGTGCTTTTTGCAACAAAAAGTATCTAGGGATTGATTGGAAAACTTCCAGCAGGCGTTTCCCTTTTAAGACTATTTTTTTTCATGTTGCTGACTATGCATTAGCCCGAGACAAACTTCTGTACACAAAATCCATAACAGGTGTAAATTATAAACTTAAAACACATTCAAAATATTAGAATGTAGATGAAATCCTAAACAATATCACTTGAAGTATAGCATAGATTTTTGAAACATGGAAATAAATACCATTTAAATAAGTTACTTCAATATTTTTCTCTTTGACATTTTAATGCATCAGTGATAAAAGGCAAGAGGCATCATAACCTTAAAAGATGCTAACTTTATTTTTATCAATAGTTCAAGTACTGGTCTTTAATAGTCATTTTATTGACTTGGAGAACCAGTAAGTAAATCCTGCAAGTGTCAAAAAACAAACCACTAGTAACTGTGTATTGATGCAAAGGGTCTATAAGAATATGTTGCTCCATTTGAAACTTTTGCCCATCATGTAAAATTAACAAAATTACAAGAACAGTTTTAAAATATGAAACTCTTAAAGAAAAAGGAAAAAAAAAAAACCCAAAAAACCCCACGGTCTCAAATGTTAAATCTAATGTAATATCTTCCTATTGCATGTCACTGGAAACAGTTAAATGAGTGACACATGTTTCACAGTATCAAAACAAAAGATAAATATATAAAATTAACATTGATCAAATTAGACCCCTGTCAAACTGGTGCATGTTACTGAAAACTAAGGATGAGACACTTCAAAAGTGCTGTTGCCTTTCTGAAAGAAGTGTGAATAGATTATGATTTACAAGTTCAGACTGGTGAATTTGGCACAGGAGTAGTTTCATTAAAGAAGAAAAAGGAACTGTATTTACCAAAGTAAAATATTAGATATGGTGATTACTTTTTTTCTTCCCAACCATAATCTGTAAACACTGCATTTTTCTTTCAATTTTACATCAGATAACTAAAATTTGGAAAATGAGAAACTCAGCAGCAGTTGGTTAAAAAGAAAAATCTTTTTTTTTTAACCATAGAAAATACTAGATATCTATAAAGATGGACAGAAAGAAGAAGAAAAAAAAACAACTGACATTAATATGAATTATGGAATAGGAAGAAATCTGAATCTCAAAATTTACACTTTAGAATATAAAGATATTTTTTCATTTTCTAAAAGAAAAGGAAAGGGTGTTTTTTTTTTTATGAAGTAGTATTAATAAACAGTGAAAAGGGAGGTTCATTTTTATATTTAAGTTACTTTGTGTTTGGTGTTTTGAAGAGAAAATTTAGGACAGCGGGGATGGGGAATAAGAGAATTATGATACATGCTTAATTGTCCTAGATGAAAATATATTTAGAGTCATGAATTTAGGACAAATATTTACAAATGAAAATTTTTTAAAGTTTTTTTTTTTTATTTATTATTATTATTTTTTTTATTTTTATTTTTTTCACCCTCTTGAAACTTAGCCCCAACTCTGCCTGTCTGACCCAAAAAATGACTAATGACAAGTATAGCATGAAAAATTAAATCCATTGGGTTAATTATTTCATAAAATGGTAAATAAAATGTTCTTTTTGCACATACTTAATAATTGTTTGCTTGTTTTGCTCAACTTAATCTCTACTACTCATCTGTTTTTGAAAAATTAGTTAAATATCTTTGATTTATAAACAAAGCCTTTGTAGGTAAAAGGACAGACATTTTCAGTTTTGCATTCAAGATCTCTCAGCCAACAGATCACAGCATTTTGTAAAAACATTTTTTAATGTGACCCACTGGGAAACAAAAATAGCATCAGCTAAAATAGGAGAGATTTGACTGTTACATGTCAAATCCTTAGTTAATTCCTACATTATACAGAGGTCTTAGTCATTAACAAATCTCAAATGTGCTAAAATTTGAGGTTTCATAAACATAAAAAAAAAAAATCAGAATCCATGATGGTAGGAGAGAAAAATTGCTGTAATAGTTGTGGTAGTATCAATGAGGGGTAAAGTCAAGAATTAAATGGGTGGAAATGAGAAGCAAAAGTATGTACAATGAAATAACAGATCCAGTTGTAATAGTGAAGATATTTGCTTTTTTTTTTTTAATTTCTTTTTATTAATTGAGATAAACTTTAGACAAAAGAAGAAGGTAGTATAGTTCCTTCTGCCTCACATTATTTCTTTGTTCTTGTTTCTCCTCTTTTCTGAAATGAATTGGATTTCAGTTTCCCCTTTCCTTCTTTTGAGTATTTGCAAGAGGAACAAATGGATGGAACTTTTTAGATTGCTAGAATTAGGAACACATTAACAATAATATCAAACAAATGAAAGATAGATATATATAATATATATATATCTAAGTTTTTTTTTCTTTTATATCTCATCAGTTTTTACCAGCTCAGGTTTAAAGACATGTTCAGTAATAAATGGATAACACTCAGCAAAATAGATTTCTGGGTGTTGCTTTTCTTTTTCACAATTTTCAACTTCAGAATTAATTTCTAAAAGATACTATCATCACTCCTAGCAGCAGTGAGACTTTAGTTTTTAAATAAAAAAATAAACTTTCCTCTTCTGTGCTGCAAATACATGATTTTAAATGTGGTGCCATTTGTTTTGAATCTAAGGCAGTCATTTTAATGTGATTGATGAAAGAAATGACATCTTGCCTAGAGATCTATGGTGGACACCTCCAACTGTATAGTTGATGGGTATATTGTGGAGTTTGCAAGCACACAAACTGATCACTAAATGTGAGACGTAAAAGGGATTATTATTATCAAAGTTCTATTGACTAATCCAACCCCTTTACAAGCAGATGCAAAAAAAAAAAAAACCCAAAAACGAACAAGACTTGTTCAGACAAAAAATGAGAAATTCATAAAAAGATTCAAGTCCTTTAAAAAGTACTCAGTTTTACTTAAAATGTAGTCATATTTGTTTTTTTTAACTAGACAATATAACTAAAAGATTGTTGTTCATATCTTTAAACAAAATGAAGATATAGAATGAATCTGTGACCAGATTATAATTTTAAATACTTCTGGTGACAAAATCGATCAACTTTTATGCGGAAGCTTATCTTGTAATTTTTATTTGAATTACGATTTATATTTAAAATAATAATCAATGTTATTTTTACTGCAGCACTGATAAAGTAGGATACTAAACTTAGATCAGTGGTGACTGGCATTTCAATGCGACCTTGGGAGTAAATTGATAAGAAAAAGATAAAAAGTCTCAATATGCTTGTACAAGTTTTGTTTTCCTTCCCCATGAATAATGAATATCTTAAGAATGGGTGTAGTAAAAAAGGAGACAACTTTTTTGTTATGTTAAATGCTTTTGAGATTTCTACCCACCTAGTTAATCTCCAGAGATTAACTGGATTAAAGGGAATGATTGAATATGGAAAAAAAAGATTTAGGAATGAGTTAGAGTGAAAAATAATGAAATAAGAATGGAGAGAGGAGCAGGAGAAGAAAAGTGAAATGATAATTCGCAGGAAAGAAGAGAATCTGCTGATGCTACTCTCATTCAGAACCTTTGCATAGGCTGTTCAGAATGGATATCTTAAGCCAGCAAATCCAACAAGGCCATCTCTCGGACGGAGAAGAATCATCCGATAAAATCTGTTCATGCTAACTATTGCCTTCTTGCAACATGTACTCATTCATTCGTTTGCATCTATTCGTTCACTGCTCACAACAACACATAAAAGGCTGAGCGAATTGAGAGTGTTAATGGATATATAGAAATGACAATGATGATGATGATGATGATGCTGCTGCTTTTACCGAGACTAAAGAGATGGAGGGCAGGTAAGAAAGAGAGTGTCAATATTAGCCGAATGCAACAAAGCTAACATGCTAAAGAGTCCAGCTTCTACAATAGATGAACAGTGTGTGTGCGTGTGTGTGTTTGGATGAGTGATTAAGAGTGTCTGCTTGTTAGATGCCAAAAAGATGGAAACTGACTTTACAGTAGGAGATATAATTTTTGGTCTTTTTCCATCTATTTCTTGTCTTCACTTTTCATTTTCATCTTCACTTTTCATTTTTTTCACACTTGGAGGCGATGCACCTTTACTGAAAGAGAAAAGAATTATATAAAATAAATTTACTTATAAATCTTTTCATAAAACTTGATGAAAATAATTCTTCAGAATAGAAGTAATGCATGGCTTTCTGTTCACCATGACAAGATCTGGAAAATTTCTCCCTAATCTGACAGTTTGAGATTTCTGGACATTTGTGGCTGGAAACCTTTAATAATAGGTATAAGTCTTGTTCTTGACACATTTTCACCCCCATTGCACACAAGATGTAAGGTAAAAAGCATGTTCTAAATCCAAAAGAACTGGCAAGAACCAGTGGAACAAAGCAATTTCAGGACATTGTCATTATACACCAACTACACATGAAAAACAACCTTGTCATCATTTCACTCATGTGTCAATTTTTCATACATGTATTTTTGTAAAGAAAAAATAAATAAATATACTGAAAAGTGTTCAATAAAAGATAAGAAACAAGCAAAGCTAATTGAAATTGATAAAAAAAAAGGGAGAGGGATAAGGAAAAAAAAAAGAAAAATCATCACACCATTACTCAATATTCTTTTTTCCTTTAAAACAACCCTAATAAAAATGTCAACTGTGGTAATTGTTTACATGTTCTGTAGATGGATATAACTAGATGATGGGTCTTGTTTTTTTGAGTCATTAAGTGTAACATTACATGCTGTGTCTCTCCATGGTAATGGCAGGATCAAAAATTCTTCATCATGGCATCAGATGACTGATATGTTGGTAAGTTATACCAGTTACTGGTTAGGCAATATTACGGAAAGGAAACCCTGTCAGCCACATTGTGTTTAGATAAGATCTGAAGAAGTCCCAAACTCAGAATTGAAATTTCAGCCACATGTCATACAAAACTAAAATTTATGGATTACTGAGATTGATCTAAGTCTTGGTATAATGACAGACTGAAATATCTTAAGATTTTAACAAAATGTAATATAATTTAGCTGTTATTTCAAACAGTTATATTTCTTTCATCACTTCTAATGCTTGACAATAGTTTGCAATAGTCTGAAATTTGAATTGCTTGTATACAGAGCCTTAAATGATAATACAACCGTCATATACAGGGGTTTCTTTGTTTCAAGTTGAGATGTTAATCTGTTGGCCTGTTAATTCATGGTTGCTACTACTATCTGCCCTTACCGTGTCTCTAGTATTATTATCTGTTCTGCCCACACCTCAGGTGTCTCCTTGAGGAACTCACTAAAGTGCACTATGTGCTTGTCTATATGGAACTAAGCTTACTGGTTTGTCAATCATAATATACAGATACAATTCAACTATTAATTTAGAATGTCTAAAGGTCTCTTTGTTCTAGAAAGCACATGTACAACTTAACAGAATTCTAATTCCTGAAAATTATCATTCCTATGAAGGCACTGGCATGTTTTTATGCAAACAAATCATATGATCCATTGATTGGCTAGTTTTTTCAAAATGCCCTTTCTCTGAAGACATTCTGAGAAACTACACCAATAGAGAAGTTTGTATGTAAACAACTTAATCTCCAGTATTTTTTTTATTTGGACAAAGAAATTTATTACAAGTCATCATTTTTCATCTGAATACTATGGCTTGTTACAAAGACCCAGTTAAACTACTTCAGAGTTAATATTCAGGTTCAATTTTTTAAGAACCCCTCCTCCTCCACACCAATTCCTTCTTAATTAGCATTTTTTTCAAATTCATTCAATGCCATCAAGCCTTTTGTAATGTTTGCCTCTCTTTATAAGGAAAACAACCAACTTAAATGGATGTCTAATTAACTAAAACAGTGAATAACTAAACAAATACAAAATAACCATCATAACTTAATAGAGCACATTTAATATCTTCTATATGCACAATATTCTATAACTAAAAAATAGAAAGCAATATCCCTAACCACATAAACTAAGAAAAAACTTTTGAAAAAAAAAATGAAAATATTTAACATAAAAAAGGAAACACCATTAAACTATTTCACAGAAACCAACTAAATAATAACCAAAAAAATATAAGAAATCTAACAAAACTAATTCAGCACTTCTATTATGATCACCAAAGTTAAAAAAAATTAAATTAAATTCAAAACCTTTTCACTTGGAAGGCTCTCTAATTCAAACAATCATATTGTGCCAGTTAATTTTCCATTGAGCCAATAACAGCTCAATTAACTAGCCAACACAACAAAAAATAAATATAACATAATTGTAATATATAAATACAATATAAAAAAAATGAAAACTACTAGAAACTTAAGCCATAAGAGAAACAATCAAAATGACCCATCAAAAACTTTCATTCAATTCAGAAATAAAATAAAAAAAAATACTAAATATATTTCACAAAAAAAAAGACAACACAAACTGAGGCAGGTAAACACAATACTTGTGGAGAGGCGGTAAACTTGAAAAACAATGAAACAATGCATACCATTAGACAACCCTACCACCTGACAATCCAAAAAGCAGGGTGAAAGAAAGATTTTTTGATAATGGCTTATGAAAGGTGAAAGTGTTCAGAATGCAATAAACAATTTATTTTGAAATTCCTCCTGGAAATCAGGAAATTAGCTTAACCCATAGAAGAATCCTATATAAAAATCTTCCAGAACTTTTGTTAGTCTTCAGCCAAAAATTAATAAATTAAAAATTACTGACCAAATACTCACACTATATATATATATATATATATATATATATTTTTACTATACATTGATGAGTAATAAGAAAGTACATCAATAATGATTTTATGATTGCAATTATTAAGTGAAAAATGATTTTACAGCATTTCTTTGGTTGAAAATTTCAAAATATTTAAGAGAAAACTTACACATCAGCTGCAGATAATGGTCTTTTGTTGGCTGCTTTGTTACCACCAGATACTGGATTCTGAGTAGCATCTGCAATAAAAATAAAAATTGTACCAATAAAGTAACGGAGGGAAAAGCACACCTGTACATAAATAACAAGGACTTCAAAGATTTTTTTAATTGCACCAATACTTCAAATATATTCCACTTTTTGATTTTGTTGTTATCAGAAACTGAGTTACTGGAGTAAAATATTTTTTTTTTTTTTTTTTTTTTACAGATAAATTTTAAACATCTATCATATGAAATACTTTAGGTGTACTATATATATATATATATATATATATATATATATATATAGAGAGAGAGAGAGTACACCTAAAGTGTGTGTGTGTGTGTATATATATATATATTATATACACACAGATGGTAAACCCTCCTTTGAAGAAATTTAAGTAATTCATTCAAAAATACACATATTTTCTTTAGTTTATACAAGAAAAAAATATGAAATGATAAAAAGAAACATGATGCAACTGATTCTGTTATATTTTTATTTTTTTTATTTGACTGCTTTGATGACTTTATAAACATCTAATACTTCCTTATGAGAATTCAGTGCTACTAACACAGATTTGCTAACTTATGCTCCTTTCAAAATTTGAGTAATTCTGATATTTACTCTAAAACATATTTCATTGAGACTGAGATAAGATCTGTAGTTAAAACTGATTGCGGAGGAGTTTTCTTTGCTATCTGGACTAATGCTTGTGATTTTATTAATTCCTTAACATCTTCTATCCCATGGCTTTCATTAACAATATTTGGGCACAATTTTTCCAAACACCAATAAAATATTTAACTTAATTCTCAACCATCTGTAACAGTTTTTTCATTACTTGCATAATTCAGAATTCTTTGACAAAGTGAAGTTTATCATCAAGTAATATAATGAATTGACTCAGATAACATGCCTTAAAAACAGAAATAAATGGCTGGTCCATAAGCAGTAGTAATAGCAAAGTTGCATTTGGTGAAAACTACTTCAACATGTATCCACAATATAACAAGAACAATCATAAAAACAAACCAAGTAACTGATTGCTTCCTTTTTTGCATGCAATAAAACTAAGCAAATTTAATCAAGAAATTCTTGGGAGAGTGCAAGCAATGAGAATTGTTTTTCTTTCAAGATTTTGGCTCTTAAATACTGCAATATGAAACATCAAATGATATAATGTAAAAAGCTTTCCTGAATAAACTAAAGAACACAAATACCAATTTTGTTTCTGACAACAAAGAAAGAGGATGACGCAACAAAGTCACAGGTGGACAGTTTATAACTTTATTAACAAATAAAGAGAAAGAAAATAATGAATTTTTCAACCTCACAGAAAAATTACACTGGAGAAAATTTAAGGTTTAGTGTGAGAAATTCAAACTCATCCTTTTAAAAATAGAATAAAATAAAAAATAATGTTAAGTAATTCTTGTTATAAAAACCTGGTCTCTGTTGCATCTTTAAAGTTTTTACTGAGTGAATAATCTCTTGATCATGTCTTTTCATTAAAAGTTCAAAAACAGAATGTTGCTTATCTTCAGTTAGCAAAACTATTGACAGTCACAAAGATTTTCCACAGAAATTATATATATTACTGAAAAACTTAACAATCAGTCCACCACATGAACCTCTAGGAACATAATTTCATGTCTTCATGCTTGTAAGCTGCTTCCATAAATAAAACCCCTTTTAAACAGATTGTTTTGAATTTCCCTCCTATTTCTATGCAGCTAACAGTCCCCAATCATCCTTTACGTTTTAGATTCTTTCAATAGAGAGAAGTGTGCGATCTGTTCTTTTTATGGTTTTATCAACCTTTTGCAGGTTATTTAAAGGCAGAAAATATTTTTAAATTGTAAGAGCTCTTTGGAAATAATGATTTACTTCTACAAATACAATTACTCAACCCATAGCTGAAGGTATAGAGAAGTGGGTGGTGGTGAATTAAAAACATCTCCCTAGGTAAACGTGTTACATGACTTTATTGACCAATGAAGTAGTTTCCTGTTAGTCAATTAAAAGAGAATTGCCAAAACTAATGAGATAGCCAAAGCTAAACATGAATTGATGCAAGTTAGGAGAGAAATAAAAGGGTTCTTGTTAATTTCTGGCAGAACTAAAAAAGTAACTGATTTACCTTGCAGCCACCTGACTTGTGTTGCTGGGCCATATCCTTTTTCATTCCTGGCTGCAATTCTGAAGATTATTGCTGGTTTTGTAGTGTAATCAATGTGAGCAGAGGCAAGACTAGCTGTTGTCACAACACAAGAAGGACTTGGGCCACAATAGACACGTACAAAGGCTAATTGTGCTGGGGATCCAGGCTTTTGATCAACTTGAGCAGCAGCAGCTGCATTCCTCACAGCAAGATACACAGAATATTCAGTAATCTTACCAGCAGTGTTTTGTGGAGGTTCCCATGACAAATGAGCACCCTCAGAACTCTGAAAAAGGTTTATAAAATGTCTTTAAATAAATAAAATTTATGGAGGCAGAACTTTATTTCTAAGATATTGAAATTGCCAATTCAAATTTTTTAAAGGCTGTATAATAGCAGGTTTTAATATATTTTTGATATATTAATCTCCATGGATTGTGTTGTGCATAGTTGTTTGCAAGAATAAAGTATGTATTGAAAATAATAAAAATATTACAAATTGACATCAAGTTATTTAAGCTCAGTATTTGCGTTAAAATATAACAGCCAAATCTTTAAGCAGAAGTATAAAATTTAGCTTTCTTTATATTGACACCTTACTGTCAATTTCAACAGGATGTGTAAAATAATTATTTGAATAATTTCCATTTTCTAAAAACCTGAAAGATAATTTGTCTGCATCCCTACAGAATAAAATTCTTTAAAACCTTTGATCATCAATAAACATTTTTTTAGAATTTTGTTTTTGATACTAAATTCTATGGAAGTAAATTTCAACAAGGGTTGTTTATATTTAACAAAAAACAAACTTTAACCTCTATTAACTCTTTGAAGCAGCTTTTGCCAACCTCAGAAATTATGACATTATGTTTAAAATAATTTTTGCACATGAACATTAACAGGAGTTATGATGTACTAAGTATCATCTGGTACAAACTCATGAGTTAGCAAGATTAAATGCTTTCTTTCTTGACTCTTAAGAATCAGGAGAGAAAAAAACAATTTCATAATTCAGAGTTAACTACATTTAATAGTTTAAAAGAAAAAGAAAAAAGGTTGTCAATACAGACCTTACTAATCTTAATAGCAGATGGTGCTCCTGGAAAGCCAGGCAAACAGGTCTTGAAGGCAGATACTTCACTAAACGGTCCTCGCCCGCATGCATTAATGCCTGCCACCCGAAATTTGTAAGCTGTGCCAGGCAAAAGTTCCTGTCTCTTCAGGACACTGTGATCCGGAACACTGACAACATCAATATCCTATAAATTTAAAAAAAAAAAAAAAAAAAAAGTTAGCAAACATTGATTACAAGATTGCTCTGTAGTGACCAAAGGAAAGAAAAAGGGTTTTCTTATATCGATCAATATAGAAAGAATAAAATATTTATAAAGAAAAGAAAAAAAAAAGACACTGTTGATTGACATTTGATGTTTTAAAAAAATTTAACCACAGCCACAAAAAAAAAAAAAAAGTAAACTCCATGCTGAGCTTAGGATATTAACCATTATTTGTTAACATTTATGAAATGTTAATCATTATAATATATCTCACATTTAGGTTTTATACCATACTTTTAAATTCTATCAAAAGGTTTATATATGACATATGCATATACCAGAAACATACAGTCATATGTAAATAACTTTCCAGCTAATGATTGCTGAATGGTTATAGAAAAGCCATTATATATAAATTTCATTTCAATAGAAAATACCTCTTCATAAATGTAAAATGTTTTAAGTACAGTTAATTTCACATGCACTAATAAAAAGGTACCACAAAAAAAATCTTTTAATTCACAGTAATTTTCATATTAAGTTATTATGACATCTTCAAAATTAAACCAAACACTTTACAAGGATTGAGTCATCAAATTTTAGGTACATTTGACATTAAAAGTCAATATGGGATTAAATTCAAATTGTTGATTGTATACCTTAAAGTAATTTAAGTAAGAGTTATTAAATACAGATAGAGGACAAATATAGTAATTAACATTTATTATACTTACATCTCCATTGCCTTGGTTAGACTCTGACGGTAAGTGGCAATGTGAAACTAAACAAGTTGTTCCTTTAATTATTCCAACATCATACCATTGATTGGCTTCTTTTTTAACAGGTGTTCCTGAAGCTTTTGCAGGAGATTCTGTCTTTATGCCCTACAAAAATGACACAAATTAGGAATATCTAAATGGACTACAAAATAAGGACACATACTTGAGAAAAAACAAAAGGATTACTAATCAAGAAACATCTTAGATCAAGTTACTTAAGCCTTAAACAATTACAATAAACAATGTATAATTCCAACTTCTGGAAAAGATAACCAATAAAATGTTATATATATATATATATATATATATATATATATATATATATACACACACACAATGACTAGAGTAATCATAAAAATTATTTTATTCCAAATAATACCAAGCCATTTTTCAAGTGCAGTTAAAACCTTTGACAAATAGCAAAAGTTCTTACCTGCTTGCTATCAGCAGTTTCAGTATTGGAAGGAAGTCCATTGGTAGCTGATGAAGTAGCTGCAGCCGATGTTGGTGTAGCCAGAGCTGAAGTCCCTGTTGCAGTTATTGGTGCAGAGGTACTCTCCTGTTTCACAATAGAAGTTGCTGAGGCACTACTAACAGCAGCTGCACTGGCTGCTGTGGTTACTGCAGCAGTAGCAAGTGTTGCAAGAGGGTCTGAAATTAAAGGTTTTAAATTTTTCAAGAATCCAAATCAAAATAATACACTTTCTTACATTAAGAAAAAAAAAAAGAAAAAACGTGAATGTCTTAAACACTTCAAAGTTTAAATTATTCATGACATTAAGTATTTTCTTCCATTTTTCTTTAAGAGATGAAACTAAAAATCCCAAAAGCCTAGATCAGTGTTTTCCAACATTTTTTTTTTTTTTTTTTTACTTCAAAGCACACTTGTAGAATAACTAGAACTCTGATACACACTTTCAATTTTAATAAGGTAAAATTAGTCATGAAATTTGAAAATAAAATGAAGTCTCCTGAAATAAGCATTTATTTTTAAAACATTACATTGTATATTTAAGTATGATTATGTTAAAACTGTGCTTGATGTGTCTTGGTAACTTTTTGAATGATAGGCCTTATATGTTATGCTTTGAGGAAAACAAAGAGGAAAGGTTTATCCCCTCTTTATTAAAGATTAAGGAATTTAACATCCAGTTTAAAACATCAAATGACAAAGACTTAAACATGGAAGCCATGTGCTTGGTGTCTCTAGCTTTTTTTATAATTTTTTTAAATATAAAGATAATTCATAAATAGCTCTTCTGTTAATTTAAAGCGCACATGGCTATCTTTCAGGGCACATCAGTGCGCCCAAGCACATCAGTTGAGAAATGCTGGCCTAGACAATAGATCAAATTTAAAAAAAAGGTTAAGACAAATACCTAAAAGATTATCAACAAGGTGCAATACTCCAATTAGCTTACCTGATGCATCTGTTGTTGTTGTTGTTGAAGACTGAGTTACAGCAGAAATTGCAGGAGTAGTGGTGGTGATAGGTGTTGCTATATTTACTGCAGTTACTGTAGGTTTTATTAGTTCTCCATTAACCGAACTAACTTTAACAGGGACCGTAGTAAGAGCAGTGCCTGTAGCAGTAGAGGCAGTAACTGGTGCATGGGTAGTATCCATGGGCTCAGGACCAGCTTCTTTCTTTTCTTCTTTTACAGACTCTGTTGTAGATGATGGTTTTGTATCACTAGTGTCCATTGCTGCCTCTTTTGTTGCAGGTTGATCAGTTTCCATTTTCATAGCTTCCAGTGCTTTGGCACCATCAGCAGTTTCACCTTCAGACTTTACATTATTGGCACTTTTATCACTGGTAGCTTTCTCATCTGAATCGGACTCTTTTTTAACCAATGTCTGATCACCTTTACCCACAACATTAGATAAAGTGTTTTTAACTTCTACTTTAGGTATCTCGGATGCATTCTGCACAGTTGTTGCTACAGCACTTGCAGTGTTCCCAGCAGTACCATCCACTGCAGAGGTGGTAGCAGGTTTCACCGTTTGGTCACCAGTAGGCACAACAGTTACAGTTGTAGAAGAAGAGGTTGTAGTTGTAAGAGTGCCATGAGGTGAAGTGGCCTGTATGCCTGCAGCCACTGTACGTGTGACTGGAATGGTGATGGCAGTTGTCACTGGGGTAATACCAGCAGTGGTTGCTTTCTCCACTTGGTTAGTAGATGGTTGGACAGTAACTTTGGCTGTAGTGACAGGAGTGGTTGGGGTCACACTGACCACTTGGGTAATTGCTGAGCTGGGGTTTACCAGTGAAGCAGCACCTTGAGGTGAAGGAAGAATTGATATACGCACAGGAGTACCAGGAGTCTGCGTTGCGCCACTTGTTAATGACGTAGTTAGAGTTTTGATGGTTGGAGTCACTGATAGTTGTACCGTAGTTGCTGCAGGCAACTGTGCTGTGGCAGCAGTCTGAGTCGGAGCTGGTTGGGCAACAATAGATATGGTTGGGGTAGTTGATGTTACTGAAGGAAGGATGGAAGTACCTGGTTTGGTAGCGCCAGTGACAGTGACCTGAGCAGCAGCACTCATGACACTGCCAAGGGTAGATGAAGACATGGATTGAGCTATAGTCAAAGAAAAAAGAAAAATTCTGTCAAATGAAATTTTTGATACAAGACAAAACAAAAGACATATAAGTCATTTATACTTGCAAAAAGTGCAGCAGATTTTACCAGTATTAAAATTTATTAAATTAAAGCTTTTTGTCCCTATTTGAAGTTATAAATTTCTTTTCAAGAAAGAAAAACTAATAAACTTCACTTTGGAAGTAGTAGTAATTTGTTTCTCCCAGCATTTGTACTAAAATAGTTTAAACTGAGTCTTTGTCAGGCTTTTCATTTTTCAATACAATACATTTTAGATAAAAGTAGATACCTTCAAAGCAGTAATTATCTAGTTCCAAAAACCAACTCTTTAGAGTAAAGAGTTCAATCCTCACCAAGTGCCTCACTACTGTGGCCTTGTGCCGGATTGACCTAAGCAAATATAAAATGGAACATTGCAATGATGCAGTGATTAGCAAACTAATCTTTAGCAATTTTGATCCTTTGCCAGTGCCACACATGACTATGTCAAGCTAAGTAAATACCCACAATTTTGGAAAGTAAAGCCAGCATAATTACATCAGACTCCAAAATTGGTACAGATCCTAAATGTGGCATCATTGTTGAGCATTAGTTACCATTCTGGTGATCAAGATGAATACCATTGTCATTATATGGCACATTGATAGCCTCAACTTGCCTTAATCCTAAAAATTATCACAATTTGTATCTTGCATAATTCTGATTAAAAAAAAATCTTACCAGGGCAATAGAAAAGTTAAAAAAAAAAAAAAAAAAAAATTAGAAGAGAGAGAAGACATTGGAGTGATCTTACCTGATGTGGTTAGAATAGTAACAACCGGCTTTGAACCTGGAGCTCCACCAGTTGACACAATTTGGGCAGTGGAGCCACCAGATGTGAGAGTAGATGCTAACTGGGATGCAGTCAGAGTAATTGGCTTACTTCCTACAGAGAAAAGTAGAAATCTTTAATTAAACTTAACTTCAAAATTTGTGTCTCATGTCATAAGCACAGAGATATATAGATATAACTTTTCAAAGACTAAAATTTCAGGTTCTGTACATTGAACTATTTTTATATCTGTATTTTCTCCAGTTACTCTTATTTAAAATGGCACAAAGATTATTACAATAAGATTAACATGCTGCAAGTTTCAAGTGTTTATATCAAAACCTGTTGATTTGTTTTCAAGAGTAAATGGCAGAAACATTCAAACGGTTCAGAAATAATAGTTTCATCAAACAACCATTTGGGATTCAATATTACTTTTCCTGTAAATATTTCACTGTTAAAATGCAATCAAATTTGTCCTGTGTGTGTGTGTGTGTGTGTGTGTGTAGCATTTTCCACAATTAAGATCTTCACAAAAGGAGCTGATTATTAAATATTTATAAAATATAGGCTACTTTATTAATTTATACTCAGAAATGAGCATATATATATTGCAAGCATTAGTTTAATTTAAAAGTCATCCAAAGCATGCATGTCACGACAATAAAAATACACAGATAATACTGACCTACTACACCTCCAGCCCCACTAGGCTGTGGACTCACAACAATAAACTGGGTGTTACCTCCACCACTCAACTTGGGCACAGAGGTGATAATCTTCGTTGGTGCACCAAAGTTTCCTGCTTGACCTTTCGGGGCAGCAATAACAATAGTCTTTGTGCCTGGAGTTGTACTGGTCAAGGCACCACCAGGTTTGGCCACAGAAATGAGAGAAGTAGGGATTGTCTTGATGATAGTGTTCACAGATTTTGCTGTAGATGTCTTTGGGAGAGGGAAGTGTAAAAAAAAAAAAAAAAGTTATTTTCCATGAACCAAGAGAGGAATATTTAAAATGATTTTACTGACCAATACAGGTTTTCTAATTATTTCAATCATCAAATTGTTTTACTTTACACATTTGCAATTTCATCTTGTCAACTGATGTCATTTAAAACACAGTATTCAACCATTTCCCTTTAATCCAATTATGGTGACTATTTAACACATTACAAGTTTTGATTACCATGCACACTGCATCAGTTACTGAGCATAATTGTTAAATCACATTCATTTTTAGACCTTTTCCACAAAATAGATTACAAAAAAATAAAATAAGAATCCAACAGTTGTAATCTGAACAACTTCATGAATGTAACAAACAATTCAGTTCATATTCATCAATAGGAAGCAATTATGACTAACCAAATTTTGTTTCATCAGCTTTACAAATAAAACAAACTTTCTCTAAATAAGAATGGTAAAATATGACTTCAAGAATAACAAAACCACTGTACAAAAATGATATAAAATAAACCTATGGAAACTAATAAAACAAAAATGTTATTTTCTTTTCAATCATTCATTTGACATTCATTATTATAAACTTTGAACCAAATAATCAAAGTATCCAAAGAACACCAGAAATTAATTAGGATTCATATAAGTCAACAGAAGCTTTCTGTTAAAATAAAAGATTTTTTTTCATCTTTTTGGTACAGAAATGCATTCTTTATTGGGATTTCTTTTAAGAGTTTAGAGAAAATAAAATAAGCATCAAATATGCATTACTTACCTGAGGTTGTACACTGCTTATTCCAAGAATAGTAGATGGTGTTGCACCTGGATTACTGCTGGTAATGATTGTAGTTGGCTTCCCTGTGCTAGCTTGTGTAGTAACTAATTTCACTATAGTTGCTCCTTGAGGTAGAGGTGTTTTTGTCTACAAAGAAAAAAGTAGATAACAATTACTCAAGAACTATTATAACAACTAGTATTTTTTAATCTTTCTTTCTATGATTACTCAATATAAACAATTGTAACAAAGTTGAAATGACAGAATTGTACCATCAGTATAAAAGACCATAAGTTTAAAGCTCACAATCATTAGAAATGACTAATTTAGTGAATAAAACAATGAATCCATTCTTGGAAAGTCCCAGCCTTGCCAAAGTAGAAATATACATATATATTATATATATATATATATATATATATATATATAATATATATATATATATATATATAAAAGAACAACCTTTAATGGCAATTTGTTGAAAATATACTTAGTCTCAACTGTAATGAGCTCTTTTTCTCTATGCCATGTCCTTTCAAGAATGTGGGCAATCGTGGTGCTCCATAACTTTTTGCCTTTTGTTGCTCTTAGCAATACTTGCTCCTTTATGACCAGTCTGTCTTTGTGTTATTTGTTCCTCTATCCCCAGTTGTATAAACTTGTCAAGTAGGTTACTCACTGCTTTATTCTGCTTCTCTTGCCTTCAAAGCCTCCTGAGAGTTAACTTCTCCAAACCTTCTTTCCTCATCATGTGTCCAAAGAATTTCAGCTATCTTTTTCCGACTGAAATGAGAAGTGTCTTTATAGTTCCTAGTTAGAACTTCCTCAGTTTTCGTATGCTCTGTCCATGATATTCTAACATTCACCAATAAAACTACATCTGCCACTTTAAAATTAGTAACATATCCAGTTTTCACTGCAATGTAGGAGGATAGACTGCACATAACAGTGTAGTTTTCATTTCTAACATTATGTTTTCAATCCTTTAATACCTTACTCACTTTCAATATTTCTATGCACCTGTTAGGACACTGACAAGATAGCTGAAGTCCTGTACTTTTGACATCATTTTGACATCCCCTACATGTAACTCATATTTTGGTCTGGCCTTCTTTACTCACCACCACACATTCCATTGTTTTACTAAGTAATCAGTCCTATCATTTTGCTCTCCTCAAATATCTTTTGTAATAGTTCTTTCAGTTTTCTTTCCGTAGAATCTAACATATATAAAGAGGCTATATCAGCCAATAAATCCTGGATAGTCCTCTCCGAGTCTTAGAATCATCTGACTAAACCGGTTAAATAAATCTAGAGAGAAAAACATTCTTGTCACATTCCTCTTTCTATCTTAGTACTTGGTAAGGTCAGTAGTGGGGAGGGGGAGATAAAAAAAAAATCCAGCTAACTTCCTCAACCTGTATAACTATTTGTCAAATTCATGTACAGTGATCAAAGCTAGTTGAAATCACCAAACAGCATATTGCTCTTTTTAAATTTGATAGTTATGAAAAGTTTACACATACAATTATAAGTTTTTAAAGGAAAAAAAAAAAAAAAAAAAAGACTGCTTCAATCCAAGACAATATTTTTTACCAGAGATTTTGTTACTTACAGTTGCAACAGTCATTCCTTGTGTAGTTTTCACCAGGGTCACAATCTGAGGCTGACTTGAAGCAGCTCCTGTCTTATGAACTGTAATGATCTGTTTGGTTCCAGCACCAATACCTGCACCCGCCTTTAATACTGTTGCTCCAGGGGTGGCAACTCTCACTGTCTGAGTGCCAGGAATTATTTGACCTTACAAAAAAATAAAAATTCAAAACCTGCTAAAATAACATTATCGACCAGTTTTAAAGAAAACAGTATATTTAGTACATTTGACTCATGGCTTAGCAATAAAACTTTAATATATTTGGTCAGCTGAGGAATAATTATGCAAGAAAGATAAATTTTCACATGTAGAAAAGTGTTACAGTTCAAGATGAACGGGAATCAATATGGTTAACTCATTAATGTTGATTAAAATGCAATTGATTAATTCATTTTCTATGGCTAATCCAACTTTTGCACATTATTTAAAACTTGAAAATATTTTTACATTGTAAAAATTAGTGGAGGGAGATAATAATGGTTTAGTGATACAAGTCTTGCTAATTAGCTGGGGGAGAAAAGGTGGATTCCCAATGCATATTTGCACACAAATTAATATAATGAACTCAATGGGAATTGGAACTCAGCTGTTTGATTAACAATTCCAAGCCATTATCTATTACTACACCACCTGCACATCCAAGCTTACAGCACCTGGTATTCCTCAGCAGTCACCAATCTAGGTATTGACCAGGTTTGATGCTTAATTAGACAGGAACATGTGTTTCAATGTAATGTGGCCATAAACTGATTAAAATAAAAGCCTTTTCACAATATTCACAAATCTGATTATTGCTTCACGTTTATCTTCCATGATATTTGAACACATTCAGCAACTTTTTATCTTTCCAGAGAATATGTGCAGGTGAAAAACAGAAGAATAGAGATTCCACAGGAACAAAATAACTCTGTGAGAAACCAGGTATTAGTCATAGTAGTGTAAGGATGACAATATGAAACATGATATGAATTAAAAAATACAAATGGGGGGGCTTAATTGACACTGATATTTTGCAGGTAAACTTGTGAACACATTAACGTCCTTTGACACTGAATGTGTTATTGCTTTATATAAAAGTCTTAAAAATACACAATAATGTAAAAGGCCAAGACAGAAAACCTCTATACTTCATTAACTTGAATTCAAAGAGAGAAAAAAAATAAAAAAATAAAAATATAAAAATTCTTTTTCTCCAGCTATATAAAAAAAAAAAAAAAAAAAAAAAAAAAAAAAAATATGAGAAATCATCAGGACATTATTTACTTACCTGCAATTTGTTTTCCTTGTACATTTGTCATTTTCATTCCAGAGGTAACAATGGAGGGAGTAACCACTTTGATGCCTGACACAGGAGTTGTTGTAGCACCAGTTGTACCTGGAATCTTTTGAGTTGCTGCCGCCGCTGCAGCAAGAGCTGCTATTCCAGTCATCTGTCCACCTGCTGTTGTCTACAAAAGCATTGCAACATTTGCAATCACTCATCCCACAGAATATGTCAACAATATACAAAAGACTGCCATAAGGAAAATAAAGAGTGTCAAACAAAGACTTCAACAGAAATATTACCAAGCAAAGCTTAAATTATTGAAAACTTTTTTTTTTAAGTAAAAAATATCAATTTCAATTTATAATGGGTACTTGAAGTGATTAAACAAATAAAAATATTTGTTCAAATCAAAAGTATTATGAAGTACTCCACCACACACAAAAAGGGAGATAAAACAGACATCTTGCCCTAATAATTTTCAAAATTATATTCTATATTTACATTCATGTACTCTTTTGGAAAACCAAAGAAAAAAAAAAAACTGCTACCTGAGGAGCTTAAATATTTCAAGAAGAACCACTTGTACTTAAAAAGGACTTAAGCAATCTAGAATGTACAAGTGATGCACAAAGCTGTTTGAGGTTTCCTACAGCACCACTGAACTTAAATAAAGTCAATTCAGGTTTGCTATGGTAAAAATTTTCTATCCCAAGTAAAAAATCATCACAAAAATGACAAAAGTCATTTTGTCACAGCTTATTTTCTCTCAAAAATGGATTTTTATACTTTTATAGGGGTAAAATATTGAAAATTATTGTTTTATCATCACCTAAACTAATATCGAGGAAACTTTTGATCTGAACCCGATGAAACTAGGTTATTTCTGAAAGCAAATGATATATTCTTTCATTTAAAAATTGGCCGGTGTAAATGACTCAAAATTTTTTTCAGTGGGTAATATGTGAAAAAAAAAATAGTGAAAATTTTGCATTTTTTTCTTGTTCTAAATAAATATTTTCCCCATTAATGGGAAATTAACCATTTTTTTTTTATTTTTTTAAATCAGAAAGCCTAAATCATAATCAAACTATTTCAGGCATAAAATTGAGAGTTTTGAAGGAAATCAACATTCCTAGGGGGTCAAAATGCAACAAAGTCCATTGGTAATTTTCAATTATATGACTGCAAGGGGTTAAAAAAAAAAAAAAAAAAATTGACACCCGGCTACGGAAATCTTTAGTAAAAGACAAAAGATTTATCTGCAATTTCTAACCACCAGAAATAAAAATTTTTTTTTTCCTCCAAAAAAATAGCAGTGATAAGGAAAATTAAACCAAATTGACATCTGGGTCAAAGGTCAGCCAGCCAGCAATAAACATTGTAATAAAACCCACCACTCCCATTTAAAAGCAAAGAGTGAAAAAAAAAAGGGTCAACATTACTAGGGCTTGATATAACCTATGTTTGAATAATGGCTTGATGTGTTTTGTTTTATTTCTAACACTCCTTGACCCGGGTGATGACAACACTTAGCAGACGGCATTGTTTTTTTTTTTCGCCGCATATATTTCGTATTTTCCATTGCCAGGCCATTTAGCCGTTCCTTTTATTCAATGATGTTCACGCCAAATGAAAGAGAAAGGAATGAATTTTGAATGATGTTATTTTGAAGTGAAAATAAGTATTTTTTCATAAAAAAAACGGTGATTTTTCTCAGAAAATTGGGTATAATTTCTTAACGCTAACCACCAAGTGACATTTTCCACAGCCAAATCGAAGATTAATTACCAGTGAATAATTCCATATGCAAACAATAGCCGTCTGGATCCTATAACATCGCCCTAAAAGGTCCAGAAGTTTACCGATTGATCAAAAACCTGTTGCACATAATTGTGTTTTTCACAGTTTTCATTATTTCATCTTGATATCATTTCCGGACAGCCAAGTCATCAAGGATTCAGGAAAACAGTTTGGCATAGGTTTGCTTTAAGAATTTTACATTCTATGAGGTATTTAAAATGTTACTGATGAATGAGATTTTTTGCCGAATATTTCGTTTACACGCCATGTTGGATTTTCCTATATGACAAAAACAAGGCTTTTAAACAGCTGTGTACATAAAAGAAGCATTTTGATAAAATAGTTTTAAAAAGTTTTACTTACTGTAATTCCTTTTTGCCCTAGAGTCACAATCTGTGGCGAGGATGCAGAAACAACTCTAATTGCATTGGATGCAGGGTTTACTGTAACTGGAGTTTTCTGTCTTACAGAAGGTGTTACTGAAATATGAAGAGCAAAAACAAAAAATGATTAGAGACAAAGAAATGTCAAATGAAAACTAAAGTTTGGGATTCAAACAAAACTGATAAATTTAAATCTTTGGTTGCAGGATATACTAGAATAACTCCTTGGAAGAGGCTTTTGCAAATAAAAAATGAAATAAAAATAATCCACCTCCTAATTTTTTTTTCTATTCTACCCAATGTTTAAGATAGAAAATTTTACAAAATGGAAAGTAAGCAGAAAATAATTTAAAATGACAGTTAAATATCCAGTGTTAAGATTTAACAAAATTGTCTATACATTCTAAATAATGCTATCGTGTTTTCTACTATTTTTAATCTTTTTTCAAAAACTTAAAATACTGAAAAATGAAAATTTAAAAATTGTAAAGCATTAATTTAATCTTTTTTTTTTCTGTAGCTGAGGCTATAAATAATGCTTGGAAATTTGTCAGCATTACATAATCAATTAAAATGGCCAATCTAACAGAAAGGCATAACAAGCAGAGCAACTAACATTTAATATTTTAAGGTAAGTTAAAGATGAAGGATAAAATTTCCAAGTTTAAAATTTTAAGAAAATAAGAGCACTTTATTGCCAGTTTTCATTGATTCACTAAAACAGACAAAACTAGGTACCTCCACTTTTTTGTTGAAAAAACAGCATAGCATGATGAAAAAAGGCCCCAAACTTAATAAAAACGAAGTTTTATCATCAAAATGTTTATTAAGAGGAAAGACCAAAGTATTTTTTATTATTTTATTGAATTTTTTAATCTTTTCTAGCATGTTCAAAATGTTTTTTTTTCTGTCAGCAGCCAATGTAATATTTACAATTAGTGTTTTGCACATTAATTTAAAAATTTTCGCAAAAATCAAATAATTGTCCAATATTAATGAAAATTTCAGGACTTATTCACAAATGAATGAATTTCAGTTATAATAAGCAGGACTCCTTGGGGAATGTAAAGAAATCTTTTTTTTCTTCAAACTACTCATTTTCTGAAAATTTGCTCCCAATCGTAAAATAGGAAAAAAAAAAAAACATAAAACTATGACATTTAATTAGAAAAGCTTTTAGCTGCTTTTATAAATAATATTTCTTAAGGACACTATTGTCTCCAGAAAAAAATTTGTTTTGATGGATAATGATTTTTTTTTTTTTTTACAAGAATTTTCATTTTTATTATAATAATTCATAATATAAAATTATGCATTACTTTCATCCAGTTAAGTGATATTAAGTGAAAACTATATTCACTAATCAAAAATTGAAAATCTTAATACAAATCATTTTAAAACTGAGAACTTTTGTTTACAAATGTGTCAAAAGGGCTGATTTTAATTATTTTACTGAAAGCACATCCCAACCCCCCACCGCAAAAAAAAAAAAAAAAAAAATCATTTCTAATCAATATAATTTCTATTTGAAATACACCAGAGTATTTTGCTTACTAGAAATAGTAAATTTAATCATTTAGGTTTCAATTAAAGCTAAAACGAAAACTTCAAGAATGTTTTTTCATTTTTAGAAATTCATTAAGCCCTAGGTATTGAAAATTAGCGGAGGTACCTAGACAAAACTGATCTTACCAATGTGATGTTATGAAAATTTATACATATCAACATTTTCACCCTGAAAATTCCTTAACAAGGAAATAAAAATGAATTTTGTTCTTCATGTAAAAGCATTATACATAAGAATTTGTAAAACTTGAATATTGAAAACTGATAAATCATTTGAGTGAGAAGTATTGCCAGAAGGGCAAAAATCTGGTATACAATTATTTCAAATAATTCACAGTAGTTATGTGAAATAAAATGGCTAATAAAAGCTAATACAGCTTTTGATTCCACATAGACCTTTAAACAGTCCCTATTTATAAATCAATGTATTCTGTAAAATGAAGCTGGTAATAGTAACTGCATGAATCTTGATCATCTTAAAACATTCCTGTTGTCAAATTAAATGTTCAGTGGCTTATGTTTTTTTTAAAGCTATTTTTCTGACTACTACCAAATTCACTAAAAAAAAAAAAAAAAAAAAAAATCATCAACATAAATTTCTATTTCATGATATCTACAACAATGGAAAAAGACGCTTGAACAAAGAGCAAAGCATAGAAGCTTTTACTGTTGAAATAAGGTCCCTAACCAAATCAAAAATATAACCAAAATAACTCCTATTTTGCATATACACAGAAAGAAAAAGAAAAAAAAAACAAAAACTATCAAGTTAATCCCATGTTGGAGGCATTGAAGCCAAGAGAAATTCTATAAACATTTTAAAATTCATTCAATCTTTCCATTGCAGAGATTTATCAAATATTTCAAGTTTTCTCTATGATAATCCTGATAATCAAATAATAGCAAGCATTTTCTTTAATTGTGAACCAGCAGAAAGCATAGGACAAGAAATTATACATAGCATGCATTCACAGCCAACAAGCAAAATACAGAGCCTCATTCACACAATCTAGTAAATCAACTAATATGAAGGAGAAATTTTTAAAAAGTAATATACAGTATAAATTAAGGTGAAATATCACTTCAAATAAAGATTCTTAAACATCTTTACTAAAAAAAAAAGAAAAAAGAAAAAGAAATCTAATAAATTCTATTGAAACATTGTGATAAAATCATTTTATGTTTCTATAAAAATGTACAAATGCAAGAAATGTTTTTAAGCTAAATTTAAAAGCTAACAAAATATGCATAACACAAAAGGTTTTAGATGTGCATATACATTATGGGCATTTAATATTGGAAACATGAATTTTTTTTTTCAGTTGCATTAAATATTTTTTCAAAAATTATAAAAAGAGAAAAATAAAATAAATAAATGGGATTTTTTTTGTATGAAGTTCAAACTTTTGTTTGAGAAAAAAAAACAAACAAAGAAACGAGCAAATATTATTATCATTAATAATAATAGTAATTATGATGATCCTCATCATCATCAAAGGAAGTAGGGAAGCACCATTTCTTGCACAGTTACCAGCAGGACATGCATAAGTCAAGCATCCACCATGCAGTGTTTTGCTTTCTATATTTTAATGAACTAAGAGCAATTCAGGAAGCAGTGAGAGCAGAAAACAAGAGAAAATGAAAATAATGCAACCAAAATGGTCAGATTGTCAGCTGCAACTTTTCTGGAGGCTGAGGATTTATTATCAAGAAATTTGGAGCAAGTAATGAAAAAAAAAAAAAAAAAAAAAAAAATTGGGACCATCAAAGCAAAGGTCATACGATTAGAAATATTTAATATCAAGAAGAAAACATTAGATACGACAAAGTCTATTGAAAAAAAAAAATCAGCTGTCATAGCCTAATTGACAAAGCATAATCTATATATTAAATATAGTGTAAACAAAACTTGAAGCACAAATGAAAATTTCCAGTTAATATATTATTCTTATTTAATCATTTGTGCATTTGAACTGACAAGTTATACACATTGTTACCTTACCAAAATCATTTGGGAAGGGGGGGGGATGTTCAAATTAGGTATATATTGTTCCATTAAACTTTAAACTTGGAGCTGATTTTATTGTATTAATGGAAATTTTATTGTTACTACTTTTTTTGCCTATTACCGTTATTTACTTGGAAAAATCAAACCCAGTATGATTTGAAGCAAATGATGGAAAAACTCATTAAATGTGAGCTGTTAACATGCCATTTTTTTTCCCCATAAATTAAATTGCCTACTATCTTCAAAAATATTCTTTGTCAATCATCCTCATATGTTTTCAATAATGGTCAGCATTATCCATGCTGTTGGCTACCAAAAACAATTGGTTTATAACATTGCTCTTGAAATTATTTCATGATTCTTCCAACATGAAGAGAACTTCTGAAATGTGGGTCATCAATCCAAACACCTTCAACTACTAGATTGGCATTTCTTAGTATATCCATGTATCTGGTTGCATTTAGTTGCCTATCAACAAAGTAGTTTTATCTTTCCATCCTACAGTACAGTACTACCACCACCATCAAAATATCAGCCTGCATTGTTTGTTTTTCAGAACTTGATGCTTCAGTCTTTTTTTGTACTTGACAGCTGAAATGTTTGCCTGGTGATCTCTTTATGAAACCAAACACTGCTTTCTGCTTTCAGATGAACCAGAGAATGAGATTTTGCTGCAATGCTCTGAAAACCTCCATTGCAATATGACATCTTGGATTTACCACAAGTTTGTTTTGTTTTGTTAACTGCCTGACTTTAGTTAATTCTTTCAGCTATTGCACAATTCATTCAAGCTTCAATATTCAAAATCTGATTCCTTCCCCACAATGTGCTGACTTGACACCATTTTTAACAGTAATAAAAAAATAAAATAAAATTTGAGCACTTTATGTCACATGAAGATTTTACAAATTTATAGTTTATTGGTAATGGACATTTTCAATGTTTAAAATTCCATTAAAAATGCTTAACTCATGATCATGGCTCAAGTTATTTTTAACAATGTTTATTTAAAAAAAAAAAAAAAAAAAAAATCAGCATCACAAACTCAAATTTATCCCAAACAATGAAATCCTTAGAAAAATTAGAAAAATATACTCATCTGAAAACCAGAGTTTGAAATATTCTCATTACTAAATATTAAGAAACTAATTGTGGGACCAATTTTGCAGAATTGCAGATGAAATCATGGAATTGCAAATCCAAAACACAATCTGGTCTTTCATGTAATTTTCAGTAACAAATTTGGTATCCTTTCAAATTCTTATTTATTCTTTGAAAATTTAACTGTCACCCTGATTTCATTATTAAAAAATTCAACATGCTTTAATAAATAAACAGTTATATTCTTAAGAAAATGTCCTTTCCTCACGCAAACTATGAAAATTAACCAAAAAAAAAAAAAAAAAAGTTTTTTTACATGAATTACATTTTTAAACTAAAGCTGGTCATAGATTTACAGAAACATTTTTGATTAGCCCTATGCAGATCTGTTTTTAATAAATTACCAAATTTCTTTTTAGGACATCATTTTCAAAACTGAATGAAAACCTAAATGCTCAGTGTATGACTTTCACAAGGCAGCATGTCTGTTTGATCATAGACAACTACAACCGTATAAGACATGAAAGTGGCAGTTTTGTAGCCATTAAGAACTTTTAAGATTTTTCTACTAATCTTATAATTAATGTGAATTATCAAAACAAACCCTTTTAACATTACAGTATTTTGAAATGAAAAAAAAAAAAAAAAAAAGAAAGAAAAGAAAAAAAAAGCAGATTTCCTTTCCTGAAAATATTTGTTCATAAAGAAATCTAAAAAAAAAACAAAACAAAAATTCTACCTCAAAGAATTATACACTGCAAAGTTCCATTGTTTTATTATCTAGTTAGATTTATTTCATTTTACATGTAATTTATTTGTGGATTTGAATTTATTTTCATTTGTTTTAGTTTTTATTGAAGATATTTGCTATTTCTTTGCATGTAAGAAAACTTTGAATTTTGTTGTTTTCTTGGTTTAAAAATAATTTTATTGTAATTTTTCCATGAAGTACAAAAACAGAGTTTATCAAAAGTGAAAAATAGAACTATGGAAAATTTGTAGCAGAAAATTGATCCCAGCAAACTAGTTAAGATGAAAGTGTGAAATTATATGAAAGAAAACCACTGCTGCTATGAAAAAGGGAGAAAGGAGTCATTAAGTTGTATTATTCACTATTTCCAAATGTTATATGATCTATAATACTAAACATTAAAGAAATCCTGACTGACTCAATCAGGAAAACAGTTTTAAAAATGCACAAGATTAAAAATCAGTCAGTACAAATAACTTAAATAATTCAACCAAAAAGCAGGCTTTTTTGTCAACTCCCTCCTGTTCCCACTAACTGCATTGTGTTACAGCTGATAACCAGATATTCCATTTTGGAAAACAAAGGCAGATTTGGTCTGACAGAGCGCTAAAGTACCTTTGATTGCATGGGCTGGCGTCATGACAGTGCCAAGAGCCGTTGACAGCAGTGGCCTGATAGGAGCGCCTCCTCCTGCTGCTAACAGCCGGGGGGAGATATAAAAAGGAGACAGGTCAAAAACACAAGTTACCAAAAATTAATAAAGGATGTCATTATTGCAAAGATTAATGTGAATTCAGGAACAAGAGTGAAAAGTGGGATAAAAAAAATTGGAGACAGAATAAATAAGAAAAATTTGAGGTAAAAAATAATAATAAAAATATCGCAAGATTTTTTTTAAAATACACAAAATACCAAGTAAGCAAAAAGCCCAATACTTTACCAAATTCTTTTTTTTAATTAAGGCATATAAATATTACAAATTAGTTAACGTGCTAAAAATAGTTTGCCTTTGTTTTTTTTATTTTTCTTATGAGGAAAGTAAATGAATAAATTCAACTTTGCTCTCCAACTGTCAGCTCAAATATCAACATTTAAGAATGGCACTTTTCACAATGATCACATGCTTTGCATAGAGCAGGAAATTTAAGAGCTTGTTTGTAGATCAACCAATGTAGTACCAAACAGTACATGCTTTTATACTGAAGTTGAATTTGATCAAATTATTTTACTGTCAAAGACATTACTTTCCTTTGTGATATCAGCAGAAACTACAACACAATATAAAAAATAAGACACCTAAATTTAATTAGGCATGTTCTTCTTTCTTAGTGCAGTTATTCAGCAAATGTTAATATCACAAGGGAAAATTGTTAGACGTTTTTTTAATACTAGTTCATAGAATGATATTGAATGTAGAGTTTGTTGGAGTGTAAGGTGCCCAAAATGTGGACAATGACAAGCAAAAATGGTCAAAGTTGTCCACAATTAATATTTGCATTACAAAATATGCAATTTTTTGCATTTATGATCCCAGTAATTTCATATTGGTTTTGTCACTGGGATATATGAATAGAATCCAAAAGGGAATGAAAGTAAACAATACTGAAAAAGAATACTTGGCAACAGATGAAGCTTTGGTATATCAACCCATATATGGGTCATCTGATGCCAATTATTTGGTTTCATACTGACAAAAAAAAAATAAATAAATAAATAAAAAATAAATAATTTTGTTAATGTCATTTTAGATTTTGAGTAAATAAGTTGATTAAGGTATCTCATATTCAACAGCATCAATTATTCAAACTCTACATCTTACTTCTCAAATTCATATAAAAATAAAATGATATTTATTAACAAAAATCAATTTTCATTAATAGAAAACTATGAATTTGAGATTTTATCTCAAATCCTACTTAAGTTTATTATCAGTTTATTACATCAAAAGAATTTATTAAGAAGAAAACGTTTCATGAAACAAAAACTGTTTTTTCAAAATATTTCAATGCGCAACAGTTTTTAGAAAGCTGAATAAAACTATCACCCAAGTGAATTTAGCAGAAATTTAAAAAAACGGCATTAGTCAAGGAACACTTCAACAAAACTAACACACAATATTAAACAATCGCTTACCTGTAGCTGGTGCTGGGGCTCTAATAATAGTGGGCTGAGACTGTGTGGTGGTTGTTTGGGTCTTGGTCAATGTGTTTGTCATTGGTACTGCAGCTGGTGTGACAGTCTGGGCAGGAGGCAGGTCATACTTCTGTAATTGCAATAGGTAAGCATCTGCTGTTGGCACAGAACCCCAGCACACTTCCAATGTGTTGGTACTGGCACGGACAAGCTGGACACGAGAGGGTGCTGGTGGCTTTTCTGTCTCTAAAAACCAAAGATCTTTAAAGCAGACCTGGAAATAAATAAAATAAAATAAAATGTTAATTTTTAAAAATTTTTTTTCATTTAAACAGTTTTGTTAAATAGGCCAATATAAATATCATTTTTAACAAGTGCTTACCTGATTATTCCAGGCTTTTCTGTATCCATCTCGTCCACTCCAAATGTAGAGTCGTGAATGAACAGCAACAGCACAGTGCCCTGCCCGCGCCCTTGGAAGTGCATCCTCAAATACCTCCATAGCTAGCGATTCCCATTTCATAGTATCTACATACAGAAAAGAAAAAAGAAACAATTAGCTATTTCCACTCAAATACAAAACTTTCATACCATTCAAGCAACCACTTCATTCCTATGTAAGTTTTCCTTTTAGTAACCAAACGAATAAAAATGTAATTAAAATTTCTACATTTAGAATTTTAAAACTGAAAACTCGTTTTTGTTATACTGTGATCCTGTTCAAGGCATGCATCTCCTAAACTTAACTTTAATGATCTACCAAAACAAATAAACTCATGAACCTAGCAAAATTATAATTTTTCTTCAAATATCGGGACATCAAGGAAAGTTCTGTCTGATTTTCCAATGAAATATTTTGTACAAAATTTACTGAACTCCAATCCTAAACTGATAATTGCCAATGCCTAGATAACTAATAGATCTCATTGAGTTTCAAATTCTGTGAAAATTATTTGAAGGGAAATGAATTTCCATACTGAATGAACAATAATATATTTAAGAGAAAAGATACATGCTAGTTCTTCACAAGATAAATGATGTGAACTTACCAATGTTGAGAGATGCAAGTGTGTTTGTACATTTCCATTCTTTCTCATGTGTAGCAACTTTGATATCATCCATGACAAGAGGCACCCAGCCGCCAAAAACAAACATCCTGTTCCCAATGACAGTTGCAGAATGAAGACTACGAGGCAAAGGGGAAATACCTTGAACAATTGGTTTGGTCCAGGTTAATGTATCTGTAAAAATCAAGGTAATATGAAGAAGTAAAAAAAAAAAAAAAAAATTTTTTTTTCAAAGTCATTCAAAAAGAAAATTTCCAAACCTACTTTACTTTAAAATTTTACTGACAGAAAAATTATAAAAAAAAAAAAAAAAAAAAAAAAAAAATCAAACACTTCACAATACAAGGAAGAAAGTAGAAATGTCACTTATAATCAATATTAATTTCTTTGAACTCAAAATATGTAGCTGTTTTTAATTCAATCCATTAATGAATCAGAATTGCATATTCATTAATACTGAGCAAATTCTACAGCCATTCTGGATTTTTGAAGGAATTGGAAATTATTACTGACAAGTAGTCTTTGTTATATCTCTGATATTGAAATAGCTAGAACTTTATATTCCCTGAAACTTACAATCTGACTGATTTGTGTGATTTAAAAAAAATATTTTTATTGCTTATCAACCTTTTGTGGGTTATTTAAAGCTGAAACCTATTTTGGATTGTAGGAGATTACTTACACTACCCAGTATTCTTAAGTAGCCCCCCCCCCCATCTAAAGTACTGATCAGCTAGACACTGCTTAACATCAGTGATCTAACAAGAACTGATGGTTTCAACAATTTGACTGTAAACTGAAACTTATAAGTAAATTTCATTATCATCAATTTATCTTAAATGAAAATCAACTTTAGATCCAGAATTTGTCTTTAAAACTAAGCATGGAATTTCTTGTGTACCTACGATGAAGATACCTACCGCAATCAAGTTGCCATAAATCTCCAAGACGACATCCACTCATGCCACCATAAATAATAAGACGAGGACGCCGTCCATCTTTCTCAGCATAAGCAGCACAGGAATGAGATTCTCTGGGAGGTGGAGGTTGACCCCCAGCCTGGGGAATGTCCCAACCCATAGCATTAGAATTGTGCTTCAGTTCCAAAGAATATAAGTCATTCAAATATCTGAGAAGTGTAAGAAAAAATAAATAAATAAATAAATTAATGCAAAATTTAACCAAAATGATCCCAAAATTGACTCTTGAGTAAATTCCTATTTTACATTTTCCCTGTTTAAGTCAAGCATAAAATAATCTAAATTTTTTCCCCACTTTATAATTTTACTATTGACATGTTAAGTACAATAAACAGCATTAAAAAAAAAAAAAAAAAAAAAAAAAAAAAATTTCACTAAGAAAATTATCCAACATTACTAAAGAACACAAATTTCAAAGTCATTTAGAAAAAAAATAAAAAATAACCTGCAATTGCTTTGACACAAAATTTATATAGCTTATTTAAATATGCAAAAGAACAAAACCAACTATTCCCAGAAAGTCTTCATGAACTAGAGTTCTAAATGGGAAGCAGAAAAGTCTTTAGCATTCAGTCAACACTGTAAATGTCAGCACTCAAATTTCAACCCACCCCATGTATACTCTGCCATATTATATGACAACATTATAGAAAATAATGTGGGAAGTTACGCAAACTGTGAGACTTTGACCACAACCAATGAGACTTTGAGAGTCACTATTTACAGAGTTTGAGCATGTTGAATGCTAAAGAGATAACAGGTTACATTTGGAAGGAGAAGAAAGCATACTATCTTCTCTGAGATGAATACCAAATATAAATGAATAGGGAGTATTGCTGGTAAGAAAACTGAAGCAAATAGACAGCATATAATAATGTTAATATTTGCATATGCAGCATTTTTTTCTTTTTTTAGTTGCTTCTCTCACAATATAAAACAATGTGCTTTCAATTTGTCCTTATATCAATTATTTTAGTTAACTCACTTAGAATGAGCTCTATAAACTGATAATCTCTGTATGCATGTTACGCAGAACTATTTCAACTGAGATGGTAGAAATTAAGCAGTATATTAAGAAAACATTTTGCTCAGTCAAACTTTTGAAGAGTTATCTGGTATTTTTACCTAAAGCTATTACATGCACAGTTCCAACCGAAACATGATCAATTTTTGTTTTAAATTGTTTAGAGAAAGAAAAAACAATTCTAGTAATGATCACACTTTATAAATGCTGTGTAACCTAGAATCATTTTTAAATTATTCTAGCTTAAGAAAAAATTCTAGAAGTGAAAAGCCATCCTGGACTATTCATGACTTTTGGAGCAATGTACAAAAGTTTAAAAAATATTTTTAAAATTTCTTGTCTTTAGTCGATTGATTTCTCATTTGATTCCTTTGAAAAAGAATTTAAAATTGCCTATATGTACCTTGTAAACACTATATGCCTTTCTATTCAGACTAGCATGCTTATCTCTTGTAAATATTACAACATACAAAAATATTTAAGAATTTGAAAAACTTACCTAGGAATATTGTTTTTTGGATCTTCGCTATCATTAGCCAGCCCACCAAAAAGATAAGCTTTGCTGCCAAGGAGAGTAAAACTGTGCCCTAAGGAATTAAAGAGAGAAATTCATAGAAAAATTTGTGACCTTAGTCATTACTAGAAAAATCAACTGCACTGTTGTGTCACAATAGGCGTTGTGGAACAAGAAAGCAAAATGAAACAAAGTAAAAAAAAAATTAAAACTGAGAAAAAATTAGCAGAGTAAGCTGGAGAATTGAATAGTATTTACAATTACAAATCATTAAGATTAAGTAATTCCCATCACTTCACCATTTCTCTCTTCACTGGTTAAGATGGCTAAATGGATTTACATTTAAAGCCCAAGCTGTGTCTAATTATCTACACAAAATTGCGAAAGCTATTAGGTAGACCCCCTCCTAAATGACAGTTGCTTTTAGGGTCATAGCAAAAATGAAGACAAACACAAAAATTTTTTCTAAGGAGTGCTGATAAGGCACGGGTCTCTCAGAAATGGGGATAATAACCAACCAAGATAAGATCATCTTCTAGTTTTCTATGCATGCACTTCATCCATCATTGTATCAAAGCTGATTCTTCAAATCCCAACACAAGTTGAACTATGAGAATAGAATCAATGTATGTTTAAAATTTCTGGAATGATATCCCCATTGTACTCTGACAATATGAATTAAAATTCCTCTAGAGACCCTGGAAACCCCCACCCAACAAAAAAAAAAAGTCACTTAAGATGAAAGTCATTGGAACAAAACTATATTTATCTATATACAATTGAAAACTTCCTTAATGAAAAGCATTCTCAATTTCTTCTTTGGTATATCCTGTCATTCCTCATTCATCTTCATATTGGTGTCAAGAAATAATAGAAGTTCATTGTTTCAAAGAACATTCCTTGCACTTTGAATACACAATAGGGTAAGGCCAGCAAGCAAAATGTTTGGCTGGATAGTGCATTGGGTGGAATGGTGAAAAGGGTAGAAAGAAAGGCATGTTTATGGAAGAGTGGTAGAAAAGAGTAAACGGAGAAGCAGTAAGAAGAGTGGGGGTTTACTGCACTATAGTCCATTGAAAGTGACCCCCCAGTTGCAATGAGGTATAATGTTTTGATGGTAAGAACTTATTGCAATAGACACACAGAACCCAAATATATGAAATCAGAGTGCTGAAGTAACTATACAGAGTATCACATGGTAAATCTTAAAATATAAATAAACAAACTAAATACATGATATTCTTCTTCTTCTACTTTCAGGTACACATGCATTTGTCTATTCAAAACACCATTCAGAAACTTCCATATCTGAAAGAATGTAGCTTGATTTTCTATCAGTTCTTTCATGAATCCTAATGTAAACAACTATTAATCACAGTTTAAAACTTATTTACATTGCTGTCAAATCAGGAAAAAATAATTAGTAACCAAATTCTAATAATTTCTTTTAAATCTATAACAAAAAAACAAAAACAAAAAAAAACATAGAAACTGTATTCTTTTGAAAAAGGAACTTTGCTTTTCATTAGTTTTATATTTAGACAATAGTTTTCAAATCTGCACTTGTTTTTAAATGAAATCAATTCCAATTGTTTTCTTATAAGCTTTCAGTTTTTTCTAGCTCATTTTGATTAAATATGCATAATTTAATACTAAACAAATATAAAAGCAGACCATAGTAGTCAATATTCATTTTTGAAAAAGGATTAAGTATCACCCAAACAGATAAATAGTGAAATGATACAGTTTACTAATTCTAAATAAATTAATTCATTTAACTATTTCCTTTGTAAATACTAGGAAAATGTAAAAGCTTGAAATATAAGAAAAGAAAAGGAGAGAAAAAGACCACTGACACACCTAATCTTGGACAAGGGGGCTGTCCATTTTTGGGAGGCTTTGGTTTCAACCGTTTCCATTCCCATCGGCTTGCTTGTAGTTCATATAATTCATTAGAATATTTGCCATACTCAACCATTCCACCAAATACAAGGATCCGGGTGCCATCACAAATGAATCCATAAGCAGCACATCCAGGAGGAATATCTCCCCTCACAGCAGGAACAAACCACTGATTGTTAGCTGGGAAAAAACAAACAAACAAACAAACAAATCAATAAAGGTTACAAAATGAAATGAACACCAAGTAGTTTTCTTGAAACAAACTCAAATTTTCTTTTTTCACCTACAAACTTTATTTTCAGCTACATGGAAGCTAGAGGAAATCCTGCTCTTTGTAAATTCCCTCAACATGCACACAAATGTCAATTTGGATCCATAAAGCATCAGCTCCCACAAATAAGAAAAACAAAAATACTCAAAATCTTTATTTTCATTGAAAATAAATTTTCTAAAGAGATACTGATGACATCTTTCCTAAGTAAATAGATCAGGTTTCAGAAAGATTTTTTCCAACTTATTAAATAAAAAGACAACACATACAAGGAAAAAAATTCTGTTTAAACTGCATTTTATAAAGATATGTATTCCACAAAAAGTTTCTCCTGCACAATTTTTTTTTAAATTTATATATTTTGATAATCCTCAAATATTGTGAAAGATTAATTTTATGTTTGCCAATATATACATTTCATAAAAGTTAAACTAAATTTTTCTGTCTATAAAAAAAAATTCTCATTGATTTTTAGCAAACTCTTACAATAGGACTGCTGGATACATGGACCAAATTGTAAGGTGGTCATAAGGGCAATATTCATCCCCCATTGTTAAGCCAAATATCACATCTTTCAGTAGCTTTTGGAATTTCTTTTTGACATCTGCAAGAATTCAAAAGTTATGATATGTCGAATGTTGCCAATATTTCTTATTTTGCAAGCACAAAACTTCAGTCAACACATTAGTTTGCAAATATCCCCATACTTGAAATATAGAACAAAATAAGCCTATTAAGCCTCAAGGTCACTCAAAAAAGATCATTTACTGATAAGTTGTAAGTTATTCCATTAAAAACAGCACAAAAAAAGAGACTTTCTAGTCAAATATTATAAAAGTTTAAGATAAATTTGAGGAAATGATGAAAAATATGTTAACATAAAATTAACAAGTAGAAGCAATATAATACATTTTTGAAAAACAGTCTACTTCAGCAGTTTTCTCCTTGGTATTTTGGAAAATTTTCATTTTAAAAGGTCCCAGAAAATTAGTCTATTATGTGTAACCACCTATATCTAAAATATTTTGCCATATCTTACCCCACTTTTTTTTGCCACTAAATATGCATTTTCCACAGAAAATAATTTCCTAGATAAGTTAAACCAACAAAACTTGAAACATTTTTAAAAGGATAGCAGTCTTTATAAGTTCACTTTTGGTTCGTATTGAATTCTTTGCTGTTGCATAAAAGTCTGAAGTTTAGTAGATAGACTTCAATGTCCCATACAACAGAAGAAATTTTAAATTGCTTCAACACTGCTTATGTGTTATTATTTTCTGCTGAATTGATGTTTGCGAGAAAGATAAGATCAATATTCGACAGATTATTGCCTTGTCCAAAAAAGAAAATGCATAACAAAGAGAATTTCTGTGCAAAGTAGTGTACGCTTGGTGACAAAGTTTTCTTCAGGAACATGTTTTTGGGAGGATGGAATTATTTCAAATAGAATTGGAAGAGTAATCTATACGGTGAAAGGAAAAAGATATGTATGCAAAAGGCACATAAACCAGTTACGATCAAGATACTCTGAAATCATTCAACAGGATGAAAAAATTCTGATGGATGTCCTGTACGACACACATTTGAAATAAGACCACCTACTAACATACCAGAATGCATAGATACATCTCTTACACCAGCCTGTATGATTGAGATGTTATTCACTTCAAAAAAGTAAAATGAAAAGAAAACCCACAGTGCAGTTAAGTCCACACCCAAAAAAAGAAAAAGTATTAGAAAGCTAAATTTTCTTGGGGAAAATTTCAGCTTAGGGGGAGGTGATGTAATGGAATATTCTGTCACCACCATGAGTAACTACACTGTAGACTTCGGGAGACTTGCTGGGATCTGTTGTGTTCAACTCAGACTTGCACAAGAACTACTGACCTTCCAATAGTAGCACTCACTACTGGACTGACTTGCGATGATCATGCGCATAACTGTTACCTTATTTCTTATTGTACTGGTTTTGTACAATAAACCTTTACTTATTTTATCTACCATGTCAAGTATATATTCCTATTAGTACAGAATATAACACTTTCTTTGCTTCATGCTGGAGCTGTGAATTGAAGGGTTGATTTTATGACACAATGGGATTGAGCCATGATTAGAACACACACAAAATTATGGCCTAAATGATTTTATCTAGGCCAGATTTTATGACTATGTAGGAAGTAAATTCTAGAAATAAAGGCATCAAAGTTTTGAACCATCTGTTGCAAGCTACATGTCGTAATGCAGTTAGGCAAAGCGGGTGGTAGAAGTCAGAGATTTTGATCTTCAAAGGGAAGATCTGGCTCATTAGTCTATCATGCAAGAAGATCACAGCAAAGATATCCCAAATGTCACCTTCCCAGTCACTAGACCATGCAATATAAATCCATGAATAACCAAGTATCTTGAAAAGAGGATTTGTGTTTTCATTTCTCACAATTGACAATATTTCTTTTTCCTTTTATTCCTTTGTGAATGTACACTGAGCCTTTCCCAGTTTTTGAACACACACAGATAAACTGGAATTAAAACACAAAGTGGGGTGATTCTTCCAATCAGTATAAAAAACAGAGAGCTGTCCCAGAGTAGGTTTATATTTAAGTGAAAAAATAAATAAATAAATAAAAAAAATAAATAAATAAAAAAACATTAAGTCCTTCAACGACATCATTAGGAAATTTCATCTGTATTCAATTTCCTTTTACTGTCACTCTCTCTGCATTCTTCTTATTGGCTTGTTAAGCCCATAAATAAGCAAAGTATACATCTTGTAATATTATAATATTTTGTTACAAAATAATTAAGTAGGTAAATGAATCTTTTTCAATTTTTTCAGATAACATGAAGCCTACATGGTTTTAGCTGGAAGCTATAATCAAGAAGAGAAACCCGAGATTTCCAATTTCAAATGAACAAACTGTCTCAGAATATGCTGCTAATTAAGTGAAAATGGTGCTTAATGCTAATCTGAGAGATGATCAAGGAGTTGCATTATCACAAACATTCCTGGAAGAAGTATTGGGGTGATTCCATTATAATAGACAGCAATAACATTGCTCAAGCTCCAACTAACCCTCAGAACCGCTTGTTTCACCATTTTCCTAAGCACCATAAGACTTTTCTGGAATTTGACTAAAAGCAAATTCTTCTGAGAACAGATAAAAATTATGAATGATGTCATTACAGTTGCTAAGAAGGAAGTTAAAATGAATTAAATTCTTGGCCTCCTTTAAAATGTTTTTAATCATTTCACTCCAAGCAAGGCAATAAAAATGCAAGGAGTTACCAAGTGTGAAAGAATATGAGCCCCCTCCCCCAAGCACTATTATGGTGAGAGAACAATAAAAAGATGAATTAAGAAGATAATGATTGATATTGCATTTAAATATTTCAATATCAAAGTTGACTGAGAAGCAAGAAACTGGTAGAAAGTTCCACAGAAATGCAAGAAAAGACATAGTTAACATAGAACTTGCCATTACATTTCAATTCAACTGTAAAATGATGAGAATTTGCCACTAATTAGTACTGCGCTTAAATTCATAAAGTTTCGGTACCATAGAAAAAGGTTCATCAGAACAATTACCATGAAAGTATTTATAGGCACCATGAAAGCAAACAAGTGGTTGAAATTGAGAAAATGCTATGAAAGAATAACCTTGCTAAAAAGAAACACCCAATAGATTCCACTTTAGCACCATGGTAATTGCCATCTTGCTAGAGATACTTACATAAAACAGAAAAAGTTATACAATTCATCTGATTTTAACTTTTATTCCTTGGAAAGCCATCAGCAAGTAGCAAACAGAATTGATACCCTCCAGTTTTAGATCTCCCTCCAACTCACACATTGTCATCTGATGCTAAAAATTACAACTTTGAATATCCTGACTTATTGAAAATGTCAAATTATCATCTGAGTTGAAATTAAAATTAGATTTTGTTTCAGTGGTAGTGACTCACTATTTATAACCAAGTCAACAATGCCCAAACAAATAATAGTTTTTTTTTTGTTTTTTAAATGTTTCTTGACAACTGAAAATGGTGATAATCACTTAGTTCATTCCCAAAATTACCCAAACAATCCCTACTGTCAAAAACCAGTTGCATTACAAATAAGTAAAGAATCTTTGGAAAATCAAGCTCTTGCAATTTTAAATGAAGACTTCTATAAAAAAAAGGGTTTAAGGTTCCTGAAAAAGACAATATAAACAAGGTTGAAGTTTCCACTTACATGATGGATAGAAAGGCAGCAGTTGTATATTTAGATATTGCAGGAGCTTGATGTGATTTTTGCAGTGTCAACAAAAAAGATTGCCACAATGTTGAGATTATCAATATTGAAGCCCTGCCAAATATTTCCACATCACATCAAATCTGAGGACTTGGTTCAAGAAACTGGAACGTTTTTCAAAGAAAGAGATGATTATGATGTTCATCATGAAGGGACAAACTGATTGATTGCAATCAATCAATTTCTGTGCAGATCATGCATGCACCTAAGGTACTTTGACATTTCAAGCTGTTATTTCGAGGGTATATAGCACAGAACTAGATTCTTGTGAGCAGCAAAACAGGAAATGCATTAAAAAAATTGCCACTAAGATGGGTTTGCAGTGGGGTGTTTCTGACAAAACTAACACAACTGTCAATGTTGTAAAAAAAAAAAATTAAATTCTGGAAGAAAGGTAATCTCAAGAGCTTCCAGATAATTATAAAAATACTTTGCTCAGTATCTTTTCATGAAAATGAAAATCACATAATCAAAAGAGAATGTACAAGTTTTTCTGTACAAGCATGTATATTTTTCTTCTCCAAAATGTTAAACGTGTGGCAATTAAAATCCTCCATGGCCCATGGATTTCTATCACTCCCTCAGTTCATAAAGTGTTAGCAAATCCTCAACAGCTTA